GAATGCTGCCCTGCTGCGTGAGTGGGTGCTGCCAGGAAGCCTCCCGGCCAGCAGGGCAACCCTCCGGAAGGCCACGGTCTGCGGGTAGGGCTGCCCCTAGGTGACTAGCGCTACAAGGGATGGGCTGACCCTCTGTCCCGTCTGTTTCTTCCCCCTTTCTTCATTTGTAAGAACATGCTTGCCGGTGATGAGCAACCACAGACTGAGGGCCCCCAGAATAGAAGGGGCAAATGTTTGTTTGAAAAAAAACTAAAAACATTATATCACACCCATTTATGCCCCCCTTCGAGCCCTTTTGAACCCCACTTATAAACCAAACTCAAAGATAAGGCTAGATATGTGAACGTCTCAGCTGGGCACAAAATTGCCCCACTACCAAAACAAAAAAAGGGAAAATTTGAGCCCCTTTTTGGTGTCGCCCGGGTACCCCTGGCGTCACTGGCGTGTCAACCCCGGTGCAAGTTCGCCCGGGTCGCCCGCCCGGGCGGCCAGGTCCGGGCGACTCTTTGGTGTCGCCCCGGGTACCCCTGGCGTGTCACCCCCGGTGCAAGTTCCGCCCGGGTCGCCCGCCCAGGCGGCCCGGTCCGCGCGGCTCTGGTACCATAGACGAGTGCTCTGCTTCTTCTTGCGCCGACCCGCTGCATTGGCAAATGCCCGAATGTCCTGAATTTGCGGCTTCACAGACTTTGCTTCTAGAGGAGGAGCAAAACGTGGTCTTTCCCTGTCGAGCCCTTGGTAGGCAGTTCCTCAGGCCCAATGGGTCTGAGCGCAATTACTAGATTCTACAACTAGCGCATGGGCTAGGCCCATCAGTTTGTTGCAGAGGTCGACTTCTGCCAACCACTTTGGGGCTCTGCACACTGGCCTTTGCTTGGGGCCGGCTTGAATTTCCCGGGCCCGCCTTCAATTAGTTTCAGCATGGGTTAGGGGTCTCATTCCTCGCAAATGGGCCTAGCTCAGTTTAACAAAGTAGTAGTGAATTATCTGGGGACGGTCAGCTCAGTGATGATATCTCATGGCCGTCGCTCTTTTCCCCCAAAAAAAAAGAAAAAAAAAGACTCACTAGAGGACGGCTTTTTTTTTTTTTTTTTTGAAATGCATGATGCCTTCTCCTCATATGGGGGACAGCGGCATTTACTACGCTATTTTCTTCTCTCAATACTTTTCCATCTCGCACTACCTACCTCGGGCTGTGTACTCAAACTGGTCTACCCACCTTCCGGACCTGCAAGGGCCACGGTAACCCAACCCACAAGGAACCCAGCTCCATGTTTCAAAGCCCTACTACAGGGCTTAGGATCAAAGACTACATACTATCCATCTATATAGCAAAGGAAGCTTAAATTCACTATCCAGCGCTAAGCTATCCTTAAGGTTATGGGCCTGCGCCTACCTATCTCTGCTCTGTGTGGGGAGCAGTACCCAGGCTCCTAACACCCGGTGCGGGCTGGAAGGAACCAATTACTTCCACAACTAGCGAGGAGGCCCAAAAACCAAAAGACAGGGGGGGGGGGGGGGGGGGCATTCTCAGAGAAAAGGAAGACGAAAGATGAAAAGAAAGAATTTCTCGAAAAGCATTATCATTTCTTACTATTCTTACCATTTTTTATTTTATTTTATTTTTTTTCCGATGGACCACGGATCAGATATTAAACTGATCAGAACAGATACTACTTGATCTTAGCCAAAAGGCCGAGAAAGGTGGTCCTTCATTTTTTTTCCTACTTGGGTATCAGTGAGTCTGAGACTGCCACGTGTCTATCATTATTTGTGGGTGTTTGTCTACAGGGAGGACGAAATCCATCATTCAGGGTGTCGGCGGTCTTTTTGCCTTCAATGATGTGTTGGTGAGGGTCTTCCCCCTTCCC